TGATGATTAAGTGACTCAAAAGACTAATATTGCTTATATCTTCCACATATTAAATCATACAGTTTCCACACAGGTAGATCGGGTTCTTCCTGTGTCATCAGAAGAAGACAGATTAGATTCATACTAAGGGGTATATCAATTACGTGACTTCCCACTTTGACCACGTGAAACTTAAACTGACAGAAAAATAGGATTATTGTCAGTTCTCACTTTGTGTAAGTGGACATACTTAAACAATAACTATACTCACTGTCTGTAAATCAGAAATGTTTTTCCTGATTTCAACAAAGGAAATGGCGTTGAATTACAAAAGAAACAAACCTAGCCCTGAGTTGTAATTATTTTTAATCATATAATAATTGAGAAAATTGTTTCTTAAGAAAATAATTGTGTTCTGGGGGAAGGAAAGATAATTGTCCTCAAATACATCACAGTTTTATGATACAAAATTTTGCTTCACTAAATCTACAGAAGAGCAGGACCTCTACTAAACTGGAGTTTCCAAAACCAGGGGCATCTTTTTTTTTTTTTTTTTTTTTTTTTGCTTTTTGAGTCACACCCGGCAATGCACAGGAGCTACTCCTGATTCATGCACTCAGGAATTACTCCTGGCCATGCTCGGGGGACCATATGGGATGCTGGGAATCGAACCCAGGTCAACTGCGTGCAAGGCAAACGCCCTACCCGCTGTGCTATTGCTCCAGCCCCAGGGGAATCTTTTCTTTTTTTTTTTTTATAAATTTATTTATTTATTGAATCACCGTGGGAAAGGTTACAAAGCTTTCAGGTTTAGGTCTCAGTCATGCAAATATCAAACACATTTTCCTTTACCACTACTTATTTTTTTACCATGAAGAACCCCAATAAGACCCCACCCCCCACCCCTCCCAGTCCCTGTGAGGCAGATGAATTCTAGTTAACACTCTATCTGCTTTGATTAGATTCATTGTTTCATTAAAAGATTCACCACTATTATTTAGAGTTTACCCCCCCCAAAATCAGACATGCTGAAAAAGCATTGTGAAGTGATTTTCTTTCTACAGCTGGGTTCAAGAATTAAATGTTGGTTTTGGATTTCTGCTATTTTACCTATTGACCCTGGAAGTATTTCTACTGAAAGTCAGATAGCTAAGAAATTGGTTTCTGTGCTCTGGAGTTGTGGCCGTGCTGGAGAGCCGCTCGTGGGGGGCAACTGGTGGCCTCGGTAGGGCGTGAAGGGCGGACAGAAACGCCCCCCTTCCCATGAGGTTTTAGTCATCCCCACACCCCCGGCTCATACCTGCAGTCCACAAGGCTCCACTTGCGGCCGCCATCTTTCTTTCCAGAGAGGAGAGGGCGAATGGGGCAACACCCTTTCCCCTCCGGACAGACATGATGGCCTGGATTAACGCATAGTCCATTCACTTTTCTGCTCCAAGCTGCCAGGTTCTGCATTAAGTCCTTGTGCTTCTGGGGCCATGGCTGTGCTGGAGAGCCGCTCGCGGGGGGGCAACTGGTGACCTCGGTAGGGCGTGAAGGACGGACCGGAACGTCCCTCTTCCCATGGGGTTTTAGTCGCCCCCACACCCCCGGCTCATACCTGTTGTCCACAAGGCCCCCATGCGGCTGCCATCCTTCTTTCCAGAGAAGAGAGGGTGAATGGGGCAACACCCTTTCCCCTCCGGGCAGACATGATGGCCTGGATTAACGCATAGTCCTTTCACTTTTCTGCTCCAAGCTGCTGGATTCTGCATTAAGTCCTTGTGCTTTTGGGGCTGTGGCTGTGCTGGAGAGCCGCTCGTGGGGGGCAACTGGTGACCTCGGTAGGGCGTGAAGGACGGACAGGAAGGGGGCATCTTTTTTGAATGATTTAGAATCACTGTGGGAAATACTCACTGAATGGTAAAGGTAAAGGTAAAGGTAAAGGTAAAGGTAAAGGTAAAGGCCCTCCCGTTGATCATCGATTTGCTCGAGTGGGCCCAGTAACGTCTCCATTGGAGTCTTTGTTGTTACTGTGTCTGGCATATCGAATACTCTCGGTAGCTTGCCGGGCTCTCCGAGAGGGGCGGAGGAATTGAACTCAGGTCGGCCATGTTGGCCGCTTGTAAGGCGAACGCCCTACCCGCTGTGCTATCGCTGATGTAATTTAAATTATAAATGTTTACTACATACTTACTATGTTCCATATGCATGACTTGATAGATCTTCTCTGCAAGCATGTCAATAAGACTTCTGTTTCTTATGGTTTAAGGTTTCCCACCCACCCCCTCCCCCCGCCAAGAATCTCAAGCTGTAAGCTGAAAACTAGTGCTATAAGTAATTTTACATTTCTACTGGGGAAAGTGGAGCATAAAATGAGGCCCCCACAACCATGCCACAGGACTCTGTGCCAGGCTGCTTTCACTTGGGATGCCCCACAGGGTGCGGGTGAGAGCCCTCCCAGCCCCAAGGAACCCACACCAGCAGCAAACTTCCACTTACCCAACCGCCGCCATGCTCCAGGCCACTTTCCACACGCTCGGGCCAAGTCTCACGTGTGAGTGAACATATTCCTTGGACCGCACAGCTGGACATATCATAAGACACTCCCTACCCATTTTCCATAATTACCACACCATATTTGATGGGGTTCAGATAGTAGGCAACAAATCATAGAAGGAGAGCCTAGCAAGCTACCAAGAGTATCCAGCCCACATGGCATAGCCTGGCAAGCTACCCATGGCATATTCGATATGCCATAAACAGTAACAATAATGGGTCTCATTCCCCTGACCCTGAAAGAACCTCCAATACAGCAGCGTTGGGAAAGACAAGTAAGGAGAGGCTGCTAAAATCTCAGGGCTGGGACGAATGAAGAAGTTACTGGTGCCCGCTTGAGTAAATTGATAAACAATGGGATGACAGTGATACAGTGATACTGGGGAAAGTGCTCTTTGTCAATTTAAGGACTTAGATTCCAGTTTGGTTTCAGACCTCCCATTGATTGAGTTCCATTTATTGGAGCTTTCAGACAGTGAGTTCACGAAAAAGAGAAGAAATGTAATGTATTTCTCCACAGGGAGTTCTGTCCCTACAATCTTAGGATATGTATTTAATTTTTAGTATAATTAGTAAAATTTTAAATTCATGTCTCATCTGTTCTTCCCAGTTCCTTTCAACTTCCTTCCTCTCTGGAGGTAATCACTACGTCGATTTTTGAGGCTACCCTCATTTGTATCATTTTGCTTCATAAGCCATAGAAAAATGATCTACAGGCAGAATTTTATTGTGTAGCTGGAATTATGTTGGATATATTTGATGCCTATTTTGTTTAAACCACCTTATTGAATTTGATTTCACACACTTAATTTTTATTAATATTTACCCAAGGATGTCTTATCACATGATGAACTTCGACAGTCAATTATAACTTTTCTGTTTACTTAAAACATTATCCCAGCTAGCCTTGTTCTCTTTCATCTTTGGTTGCTTCAAGGACAGGCTACATAGCAGTTTCTCATCAGTATTTGTAAAACTGTGGTGAAGGATACCTGCCAACCTTAGCATTTGTTTATATCGACAACCAAATTCTCAAATAAGAATTTTAAATTCCAATGTCAAGCTTACCTAACGCTTCTCATCTTGATGCCCATCTGAATGCTTGCTACTTGAAGATGCTTTAACCATAAATTATTAACTTTCCTTATCTGTCAAATAATCGTCAGGTTTAAATTTATGTGGCTTTAGGTTAAGAATATGTGGCTAAAATCATTACAGCAAACTGGTGCTTGCTAAAGGATGATTATCCAGTGCACAAATTGGGGTCAGTCCCTTTGCATCTCTTCTTCTTCCCTTAGTATGATTAGTTCTTTAAAAAAAATTTTTCCTTAAGGAATGACCTGGACCAACCATGAAACGAAAGCAACAACAAGTAAGCAGCAATGAGAGAAAAAATAAACATACTTGGTGAAAGCAAAAGATTCAAACTCTCTATGCATTTTAAAAAGTATCTCTAGGTTTTTGAATCTATGTTAGCCTATCCTATAAATTTGCCTATCTTATGGGCAGAATATGTATATAGACAAAACAAAAAACACTGTCCTCCCGTTGTTCATCGATTTGCTCGAGCGGGCCCAGTAACGTCTCCATTGTGAGACTTCTTGTTACTGTGTTTGGCATATTGAATACTCTCAGTAGCTTGTCAGGCTCTCTCCGAGAGGGGTGGAGGAATCGAACCCTGCTCAGCTGGGCTGGCTGCGCGCAAGGCAAACGCCCTACCGCTGTGCTATCACTCTAGACATATTACAATAAATTCAGTTTGTTTTAAACACTAGTAAAGTGAATATGAAAAATCAGTCACCCAAAATATTGTTTTTATATTGGTTTGGTTTTCCTTCCTTAAAGGATGGTAAATTTGAGGGGGAAAAAACAACACACATGATCCTGCAAAATTAATATGAAAATGCTATAATAAATTAAAAAATTTAGTAAAGGGTTTTGACCTATAGTAAATCAGTCTTATTATACTAATTAATTTTATTATCATTATTGCAAACATTGGTAGCTATCCCCACTTCCATTATGTTAACTTTTTTTTTTTTGCTTTTTGGGTCACACACTTGGCGATGCACAGTGGTTACTCCTGACTTTGCACTCAGGAATTACTCCTGGTGGTACTCAGGCTCCAGTCCCTATGTTAACTTTTATATCAGTCAAAATCTAGCATTATGAGAAGTTATTTCACCCTCAATTAAAATATTAAGAAAATATTAAGAAAATAGGGGTCTGAGCTCTTACATATCAATAGATGAAGACAGCATAAACCCAAATCTATCTAACCAGAATCCCAATTCTTGGAATAAGACCATACACAAATTTTTTTTTCTAAATTGTGGGTCAAAACAAGTATATATCCTATAGCAACAGATAATTTAATGTAACTCAGACAAAAGCTATTGCTGTCTACTTACATTTAAGTTTTCAATTACAGACCTCTTAGCTATGTCTGTAAGAATTATTTTCCTCATTATCTTTCTCTTCAGGGTTGTGATACACAGATGATACATGACATGTTGCTTAGACTGAAACCCACTCTCTATTTACCTGGTGACTTTGTCTGCAAAAAGGTGAGTGCGCACTACTTTTCAAAGGCATAACGAGCAAATAAATTTTAGATATAGATGCAAAAGCATATTTTAAACAAAAGGTGTCAACGGTGAATTCCGTAGTACAGAAATAATTATGATATATAATTCTGTGTAACAATAATTTTACTCTTAAGAGTTCAAAATGGAACAGGACAATGTGGTGGGTTGTTTGAAAAATTGTTTTACATTTTATCAGTTGTCATACCGTGTTCATTCCAAATAGCCAAATCAGCAGAAAAAATTAAAAGGTTCTACTATCCTTTTTTACAGTTTAGGTAAACTACTGTTACCTTCAATTATCCTTTTTCTTTTTTTGCTTTTTTGGGTCACACTTAGCGATGTTCAGGGGTTACTCCTGTCTGCACTCAGGAATCACTCCTAGCGGTGCTCAGGGGACCATACGGGATGCTGGGAATCAAACCCGGGTTGGCTGCGTGCAAGGCAAACGCCCTGCCGGCTGTGCTATCACTCTAGCCCCATCCTTCACTTATCTTAATTAAAGGATGATTAATAAAATACATTAACAAAACTTTCTCTTTTTATAATTATAAAAATAAAAGGTATTTAATAATTTAATTCTTAAAATACAAACAAAAATGTTAACAACCCAGAAATAAACACTATTAATATATTTGATGGATCCCTTTATACTGACTGATGGGTATAAAACTTGTTTTACGAAATTGGGAATATAATATATTTATGTTTCAAAACTTCTTTTGCCATGTACTATATCATATAAATATTTTTCATAATTAGTGGTATTCTACAGTCTCATTTTTATTTTTTTGAATGTCAATTGAATTTTATTTGTTTTTGTTTTAATTTTTCTTAGTGAGACTGTACCATGAGGTACAGTTGTAGACTTACAAATTTTTGTGCTTGGGTTTCAATTATACAATGATCAAATACCCATCCCTCCACCACTGCCCATTTCCCACCACCACGGATCCCAGTATCTCTCCCACACTCCATCCCCCCAGCCACCCTGCCTCTGTGGCGGGGCATTTCCTTTTCTTCTCTCTCTCCTTTTAGGTGTTGTGGTTTGCAAAAGAGGCATTAAGTGGCAATCATGTTTGGTCTATAGTCTACTCTCATCACGCATTTCCGATCCTGAGAGGAACCTCCCAACACCCTTTATTTGGTGCTCCCTTCTCTATCTGAGCTGCCTTTTCTCCTAGCGTGTGCGGCTGTCCTCAAAACCATGGAGCAAAACTCCTGGTACTTATCTCAGCCACTCTTGGGTGTTAGTCTCCTATTTTGTTACTTTATGTTTCCCAGATGAATGCAATCTTTCTATGTCTATCCCTTTCTTTCTGAGTCATTTTGCTTAACATGATACTTTCCATGTAGTACCACTTGTATGTAAATTTCATGTACAGTCTCATTTTTAAAACTGCATAATATTCCAGTCTAGATTACCAAAGTCAATTTTCAAACAGCTGTTATGATTAATCATCCTAAATGAATTTGGGGGTTGAGGGTTAAGCCACGCCTGGTAGTTGTCAGGGCTTGCTCTGGCTCTGAGCTCAGGGATCACTCCTGGCAAGTATTGGGGAACCGCATGGGATGCAGGGGTTGAACCCATATCAGTTGCATGCAAGGAAACTACCTTACCCGTATACTGTCTTTCTGGTTTTCTAAAATGAACATTTTTCTACACCACCAATTGTTTTAAGTGATACAGGAAGAAATGATGACCTGGAGTTTTATATTTAGCTAGATCAATAACAAAATCAATATTCAGCATATTGGAGGATGAGCATTTCAGAGACATGCGAGCTATCCCAAACCTTAGGAGGTTCAAGTGTGGAGAAGTACTTACATCATTCCCAAATAACGTATTAAGCACTATGGTAAAGTATATGCTGTTATAGAAAACAAAATGGGACCCTTGTCACTCTGACAAGATTTCTTGGAAAAGATAATGTCTGATCCAAGTCTTGAAAATGAGTTGGTGAGGAGCAAGTGGCAAAGAAAGCTGACATTCTAGATAAAGGGGAGAATTAGTTTCAGCTGAACTGAAAGGCCCTGTCTCTGCAGAGGGGGTATAGAAAACACCTCATTTAGAACAATTTTACTATCATTTACTCAGTGAAACTATATAACTACTTTTTAATACACAGGCCATGCACTGGGGTAAATGCTGTTAGTACTGGCATTGGGCAAGACAAATTATTCATATCCTTTGGGAGCTTGCAATTTAATGACATTAAATAGGTATTCAATTCACTATACACATAAGAATCACGTAAATTTAGAAATCTGGTTTCTATCAACTGTTCTGGGTGGAACCCTCATATTAACATTTTTTTTAATTCCCAGACAAATCTAAATTAAGTCAAAGTTGGGAACCTCTGATCTTTGAAGAAAATAAAACAATAAACAATAGAAATGTAATAAATACTCAACTCCAGATTGTGCTCATTTCTAGAAAGGGAACATAGAATTTTCCATGAGGGTGTGTGGTGGTAGAGACTTTAAACTGGGAAGCTCGAGGAGAGAGAGAGAGAGAGAGAGAGCACATTATGTCATCTCCTTGGGTTTTATCAAGAGAAAAAGTTTTACCTTTGTAAAAACTTCAGTTCTTTTGGGGGGAGTTGCTTGGGGTGGGGTTTGGGTCACAGCCAACAGTGCTCAGGGCTCTACACTCAGGGATCACCCCTGCCAGGGCTCAGGGGACCATATGAAATGACAGGAACCAAAACCAGGGTCAGCCACATGTAAGGCTAGCGCCACACCCACTATACTATTGGTCTGGACAAAACTAAAGTTCTTTAGTTTAAAAAAATGAAGGTGATGGGGGCTGGAGCAATAGTACAGCGTGTAGGGCGTTTGCCTTGCACGTGCCTGACCTGGGTTTGATTTCCAGCATTCCATATGGTCCACTGAGTACTACCAGGTGTAATTCCTGAGTACAGAGCCAGGAGTAACCCCTGTGCATCGTCAGGTGTGACCCTCCCCCCCAAAAAAATGCAGGTGATGATATTTCAGATGAAGACTTAGAACCATGCATCAAGATGAAGTTTGGTACATACAAAGAACAAAAGCAGGTTATGGACTGAAATAAGGGTGAAAGTCGGTCAAAAGGCAATCACGGCATCTGAATGGACATGCAGAATGCTCAGCCAGAAGTCAGTTGAGTCAAGGAGAGGAGATGAGTTAAGAGCTAAATCTTTATCACCTGCTTATGATGGAATCTAGCCTTGAGAGAAACTCAAGAAACGGTAAGAGAAGAGGTCCAGCTCTGTAATTTTGCAGACCCCAAATATTTCTAATAAATGTTTATTTTTTAAAAACAAAAGAGAGGGGCTGGAGTGACAGCACAGCAGGTAGGGCATGTGCCTTGCACACGGCCAACCCTGGCTCGATTCCCAGCATCCCATAGGGTCCCCTGAGCACTGCCAGAAATAATTCCTGAGTGCATGAGCCAGGAATAACACCTTTGTATCGCCAGTGTGACCCAAAAAGCAAAATAAATAAATAAATAAAACCACAAATTAAAAAAAAATGGAATGGGTACAGCAGGTAAGGTGTTTGCATTGCAGTTGGTGACCAGGATTCAATCTCCAACATTACATATGGTCCTCCCAGCTCCTCCAGGAGTGATTCTAGAGCACAGAACCAAGAGTAAGTCCCCACGCATAGCCAAGTATGACCCATAAATAAAATACATTTTTTTAGAGAATCAACAACAAAGGGAACTAAGAATGGAGCTATCAGAAAAAAAATGTTTGTGATATTATGATGTAACAGAAACCAACTTATACAATCCCAAACAAATTAGTTCATGTTAAAAGAAGGCAGATTGCGAACATAAATTCATGTTCTTAAAATTGGGAAGTTAACATTCCATTCCGTTTAAGAGCCCCTTTAGGGCACTTGGTAGCATTGCAATGGCATGTCTTAATGCACAAAAACAACCTTTCAATTTATTCCAGAGTCAAGGGACTGAGACTTAGGATAACACAAATAAACCTTGGAGCCCATGCCTCCAAGAAGGCAAACTTGTGTAAAATTGAAAATAGGCGGAGTCTACTCATTTCTAATTTCTTCTTCATGTTACATTCATCACTAAATAATTAAAACATATCAGCAAACACAAAGGACGGAAAGAACAAGAAGGAAAAGCAGAAATGAGAAGGTGTAAGAATTACGGATGCTTTCTCTTTTTGAAAGAAAATTTTATTTCGATTGGGAAGTTGGAAGAGAGAAAGCACCTTAGGTCAGGTCATTAAATTTTATAAAGGGAAAATTTAAAGAGAAAGTAGATACCGACAAATAGATTGACACAGACAAAAGGCTGACCAGAGTTTAGGCTTGTCCTTTTCATTTCCACAAAATGTGGCAGTGAAGGGGAAGGAAAATATGCTTATTGCAAGTTGCCTAAATAATTGAGAAAACAGGGAAAGTAGCAAGATATGACTCAGTGGTAGGGGCAAACCTCAAATGAGTGAGGTCGAGTTCAATCCCCAGCATTGAAAAAGAAAGTCAGGGTACAGGGCTGAGTTGACTGAACTGCCTTATTATCACTCAGGACTCTAACTTGCTTCATGGAGTGAATGAATTTTTCAAAGAAGAGGGGTTGGCCCCACATGCCACAGTGCCCAGGAGTCACTCCTGATGGCATCAGAGAGCCATGCTATGCCAAGGACTGGGCTCAAGGTTCCCACACACACCACATGTGCTCCTGATCTTTGATTTATCTCCTTGGTTCCCAGGAGTGCCATAAGCCAGTTGGTGGAGGGTCTTTGGCCCTTGGGTGACGGTAGAGGGGCAAAAACTCAGTATACTGAAAATATAAACTTGAATACTACTGTAACCCTGTCCCCTCAATAACAAAACAAATTGTTGAAGTGTTTAAGATTTTTCCAGTATCCTTCACAACAACGCAAAAAGTATCAGGAGATCTGGATAAAGTACAGACTTCCAGGACTTCACATCATCCAGAGATTATACTGCAATTTTTCTGTGATGAG